CTATGAACCTCGTGTCCTGTTCATGTTGTGAGTGTTGAGTCAACAGATTAGAAGGTAATATGAGTTTCCTCCCATGTACAGGGCAGTCCCAGCCCTAGAAGATACGTATATGTGAATTACTTCCTATTATCAGGGCTCTTGGAGACTTGTCATCTCTTAGAGCCCAGCACTGTAATAACTCTGCATCTAACCAGAAGAAAATAAATCTACGTAAAGCTGATTCCTGTTTCCTGAGTGTTACTTCTTGGGGCCTTCAGATAAAAGAACCGGTTGAATCTAAAAGTTCCATATGTTTCATATATGTAGGATTCAAAGGTCAAGATCAGGACTGAAAGAAGGCCAAACAAATGCAGAAGAAGTGTTGATGTTAATCAGTGAACAGGATGAAAACTGAAACTGGCAGAGCAAACAAAAAAGAAGACATAAAAATGAGCAGGCGATCATTTAATCAGGCCACCTAGAGTACAGCACTGTATTAACACCACAAGACAAATCATGTTATCTTCTTCTCCTCTGGTGCAACTGGGCCAGCCCAGTCGATCCTCAGAACAAAACCTCATTGTTGCCCACTGATTATCCATTTACAGCCTGTGGTCATACCAGTCTCTAGCATCCCAGTAAGGCCACCAGACACTGTCCAAAGTTCATACCAAAAGACATCCTGGTACTGTGGTTTCAATCTTGTTTGACTTCTGTTTTCACTGCTAGCACATGATAGACAGGGAACTCTAAGGTGATCCTTGTACATTGAGTTTCAATCCTTACATCAGATTAAATATTAAAAGGCTTATTTCACTGCTCCAAGCTCTCAGCATACTTCATGCCGAGTGAAAATGCGGCTATATAAGGTGATTGGGACACAGCCATTTCCATTGTTATGCTTGGCAGAAACAGCGAGGTCTAGTTGTGGTTGCTGTTTATATGCTGGGGGAAGCTAAACAGAGAAGTCCGTCAGAGCAGCTTTGAAACCATGTGAAGGAGCGACTGATGGAACATTTGACCCCCAATGCCATTCTCAGTTTGAACTCTCACACACTCTTGTGACACAGCTTGAGGCATACCATCATGCAAGCCATCAACATTCACTCCTCACGCATTCTGAAGCACAAAACATTTCATCAACAGAAAATTTATTAAATAATTTTACAAAAAAAGTTGTTGGTCACTTGCACAATGCCCTTTCCCCTATCCTGCCCCACCCTTTCAACAAAACATCACAACTCACACACACATCACATAATCCACCGATATCAGCTTCATCTCTGTGGTACATGTGCATGATATTGTTTTAACACACAGCATAATCTAAAATCATCATACTCTTTTGCTTTTAGGACCCAACTCCTGTTATTTTGGCACAAATGACTGTCTTACATCACACTGCCACAATGCACATCAGTCATATGATAAGTCACTTTTCCATGCAATGGGAAGATGCTCTTCAAAATTGGTGAAAATCGGTGTAAATGTGTGTAGACGTGACAGATTTCGACACTTAAAAGAGTCCAATATGTTGACAAGTCTCTCATATTCACTTTGACTAGATGCATCATTGTTGAACATCAGAACCCTTTGGAGTTATAATGGACCACCATTTTTAAAAGACTGTACACTGTGATCTTTAACCTGCACACAGGGGCTTAAACATCACACAGCTGTTACACCGATTCTATCATAGCTGATATTAAACCAGCATTTTATGAGCTGGTGTAAAACATTTCTGTTTGACTCCAGGTCGGTGGGATACAGAGCAGTCCTACAGAACATCCTAAATGTGTGTGGCCTCATATCACCACACAATGCTGAACTTGTAAAGTATCCACCTCATACAGTACATTTTTGATGTTGCACAATTTTTCAGCTACATGTCCACAAACACCATAAAGCACCAGCCGAGCCCCCCGACCAGAAACATGGTGATCTGCATGCTGTAGATGATCAGGTCATTGAGCACACCAAAGTCCAGCCGCCGGTGGCCTAACAAAAGCAGGATGACAGACAGCTTGTACTGCAGCCGCAGGAGGACACGCACGCTCACGTACTGCAGGAAGAAAAGAGCAGAGAGCGCCACCCAGAGCAGAGAGGTCAGCAGGCTGCAGCCAAAGTAGAGGAGGAAACGGAGGAAGCTGTACATGCAGCGTGAGCGCAGGTAGAGGTCAAAGTTATTGTACTTGGAGCGAACTAGTTTGGAAGTGTGTGTTGCCCCACAGGCTGAGTGCATGCAGGTGGTGTGGGGGCCATGGAAGCTGCGCACCCGCCGGGGGATGGGGATCACAGGCATGGGTGGGCTGCTGGAGCCCAGCGCAGAGCATGGGAGACCCAGTTACTGGCTGGAGTCCTCAGTGAGCGAAGCTTCTGGGGAGGCTGTTAGCTTCATTTGGTCTCATACTGGAGTAGGAGATGTGTGAATCCCACTCAGCAGTGTTTTCTCCCTCAAATGAAACAGGTCCTGTGAAAACATGACATAGTTACTCTATGTATTTAAATACATTTTCAAAAGGTGCATGCATGCACACACTGTTGCACAATGCAGACGTGTGCATACTTAGTTCTTAACCTGAAAGCTAATGGATACATCTTAACAGACAGTTGCAGCCTATGTCTCAGCATAAAGCTATTGGTTAAGTTTTAATGTTATCTCTTATCCAAAAGGAACATTTCATCCCTATTCTTGTCTAGGAAGGAGTGACCGTGCAGGACTAGTGATACAGGAGGCTAACCTTACATGCAACACCACGACGTCTTCATCCTCAAAAACATAAAAAGACGACCTGTGTTTGACTCTCAGGCTATTGGAGCATTGCATCACATTATAAACATTTGGCGGAAGCGCACGGGGTTTATTTTGGTTTTCTTTTTTTCCCACGATAAAGCATTTACACCAACGGAGATGAGGCATCCATCGCGAGCCGGTGCTTGTCCGTCCTGTCGCAAAATATACGAGTCATCCTGCTGTGACGACAGCTGCCGAGTTAAAGGGGAAGTGCTCGGGAGAGGATGCTCGCTCTGGAGCTCTGTTTCTAATCCGTTAGTACATTTTCTCAAGCTGCGTAAAGTCAGTTCAGTCGCACGAATCGGTTAGTAATTCCTTCGGTGACCACATAGTCACCAAGCATTACAGAAGACCTCTTCCATGAAATAACCAAAGTTGTTTTGGCAGAAAACAATTCATGTAAAACGTTGCTGCTCAAACTAAGACACAGCAACGTTTGTTATGTATCTGCTAAAGTAATTCGGAGCTCTCAGACCTGCACCTGCCAGCATTTCTGCAAGACATCGCAAAGGACACATGTGCATTTGTATTCATGTGTTTGTGGACCTCACAAGGTTACACGGTGCATCCACAGGCATGTCATCAGAAGTGCAGGAGCCACATAAACCAGTTCTATTTCAAGTAACCTTCCTTGAGCAGATTTATGGTTTGGTTGAATGATTGCATCTCAGCTATCTGTCAGGATGCCAGATGGTAGCAGGTAACCATAAATCATAACAAACCGGCTTTTTTAATGGAAAAAAAAAGTTTATTACAGTTGTTAATGCTGTGCTTCATTACTTTGCTTGGAATTTGAATGTGTATTATGCAAAATTAGAAAGACAAACCTTTAAATATTTAATCAAATATACATAAAGCTGTCACCTAGCCTTGGATATATCAGTGTACTGTATGTACTTTCCCTTCACATTATGATTGAGTTTAATAATGAAATACATAAGATAATCATTTGAGTGGCAGTGAGAATCTGAAGTCGGCTCTGGATATACAAATTAAAATGGCAGTATTTATTAGAATGGAGATTATTTTCTATGTCAAGAGTGTGGTCAATGTCGCTGAATGTCTTCAAAGTGCTTTTCAATATGGAGTGGTTGAGTATTGAGCCCAGTACATGTCACCACTTAAAAAACTCACATTTCTCTGTAGATTGTTCTTAAATGTACCCGTTTTATTTGATAAGGGCGCCATAAAGGTCTTGCTTAAATTATATTATACTGTCATGCTTTATATTAAATCTTGGTTCACAGATAATTCAGTCATCCTCTATTCTTATTTTAAAACAAAATGCCAGGAGTGTCATCTGTTACCTGAGTTAACATCAAAGCTATGATAACATAAAGTCTTGGTCAGAGCAAACTACTGTACTACAGCACTGAAATCCACTTACACGGTGTTGTAGACAGTATTATTGCATTTTCTGTTGACCCAAATGGCTTCGTTTTCTGAAATATTTTCCATGAAGGCTTTCTGATACAGACATTTTACACTAAAGCTCTTGGGTCATGCCAGTGTATGTGCTGAATTCACTCATCATCAATTGCTGTGTCATAACTGTGACTTACAATCATTAACCAGCCCTTGTGTGAAGAATGCTTTTTGAGACAACAGCTTCAAACAAAATACAACAAAGCAGTTGCTGAAAACTTTAAAGCTCACAGAAATATCCTGAAGGTGTAAGTTCTTGTAAATTCTCCTCCGTACTATTAATCTACTCTCACTTTGTCAGTAACTTGATTCGGACATTTCTTTTTAGCAGGAAAAGTTTCTTTATCTTCACTCTGAATTAGATTTTTGGATCAGTTTAGGGACCAAATAGTTTGTTGTACTTCTTTCCTGGCTGTGATTGCATTTAGTAAGAAAGTTTTTTGTCTACCTTTGTCTGTAACTCCCTTGAGATGTGTACTTATATGGGTAGCACTAGTTTCTGGTTTGAAGATTAATGGTGGTCATTTAAATATAAAATACCTTGAAGGTTATCCTTGCTTATCAGGTAGTGAAGAAATAGATTCCTTTCTCTGGAAAATAATGTTGGCACCGTAAGAAAGGATACATGTACCTGAATATTACAGATAAAGGGCAAGGTGTTAGAATGATCTCCATGGGAGTTCACATTTCTTTCAGCCAAGTAAACAGTTAAAATAATTCAACTTACAAAGTTATAGGACACTTCCTCAGCCTGTTGTTGCCCAACACCAATCAGGTGTTTCTTTTTAATTCATCTTAATCACGTGAGTTGACCTTTGTCCAAAGGTTACTGATCAAACCTTTCTGCAGGTAGTCCTGGCTCCAGAGCTGTATGTTTCTGATGAGCAGTCACAGGCCACATCGACCTACCAAGTGTTTGATTGTTTGTTGTTTTTGTTGTGTCTTGTTGCTTTTCTTCTTTTGTCTCTCCTCTATCCACTCACCCCAACCGGTCGAGGCAGAAGGCCGCCCACCAAGAGCCGGGGTCTGTCGGAGGTTTCTTCTGTTAAAGGGAGTTTTTCCTGTCCACTGTCGCCAAGTGCTTGCTCAAAGGGGATTTGTTGGGTTTTCCCTATGTAATAATATTGATAACCTTAAGGTCTAGACCTTACTTTGTAAAGTGTCCTGAAATGACTGAGATGTGGAGTTAATATGTTTGGAGGGAGCCATCACATATTTATTTATTTATTTATTTTTATTTTAGTTCTCCTCGCTGGAGTGAGCACAAAAGAAACCATCTTATTTTTTCTCCACTGGATGGAGCTGTTTGTTCAGGTTTCACATCTTCCAGGCACCTTCCAACCCCACCGAGGAACAACACATTCAAGGGCATGGCACCAAACTCTCTCTCCTCCTCCCTATATAGGCTTCTTTGAACAAAATCCAGCTCCTACTTTATTGCATTCTTTGATAAATGGACACATACAGCCCCATTACAGCTGAAAATGGCTGTAAATGGTGCCAAGTCTAGATGTAGTCTTTCTCATGCATCTGGTTAATGACTGCATCCAAGCTGAGGAAGCTCCTCTGTCTCATACCATTACCAAGAAAAATGGTCAATAAAGTGGACGCCAGTGATTTAGGCACCCAAGTGCCCTTGTAAATGATGTATACTGATTCTAATCATACATTATGGCAATATTATTGACTCATATTTTTCTCTTCCAAAAGATGAAGACCATTTGGAGTATTTCCTCATCTCCTAGAAGGTGGCGTTTGGTCCTGGAAGGTATTAGTAGTATAGGTTTAAGTTTCTTTCCAAGTCTGAAAGTAACTGAAGAATGCAGCCTCTAAGGGCTTTAGAACCAAGGCTACTTCTTCATTCGCTGACAAACTGCCGACAGAAAAATCTACTCTGCACTTGTAGCCTTGAGGAGTAGCAATTGCAATTCACAGCTAAAGCTATCAACCTTCCCCTTCCAGCCCCCCAAAACCCTTTGCCAATACATTGCTGTCATGACCCAAAATCAGGTCTAAAGTAAGCAAGATTAAAGGGGAACATGTCAAAATCCTCTTTGACTCCTCCAAATATAGTTGGGCTAGATCAATTATTTCATTAACTAAGTAGAGGTCACAGCCAATAGTTGAGCTAAGACAAATTAAATCAATTAGTTGGGCTAATAAGATGAGGGAGACTTTAATTAGTGAAAGTTTAATCAAAGCTATGTTTGCGCTGTGCTGTGTTATGAAGCAGTTCAGTGAATTGCCTATAGAAAGATCCATTATATCTGTCAAGGAAAACTTTGGCCATGTATATGAATCCTTATGTGTATATCCAGTTTATTTGACTATATTTTAGTTTCATGAGTGTCTGCCCACTTTTATTCATTCCTAATGTAATGTATGTGGTTGCCAGTTTGTCCCTCTTTTTAAGCATATTTTGTTGTTGAGGAATCAGATTATTGATGAAAAACTTTTTAAAAGTAAAAGATGAGGAAAGGGCTTAAAACGAATGTACTTCCCAGATGGCGTGCAAAGGATGCCAAGTTAAATAACCTGTTAAACTAATTAAAATAAAACATGATGCAGACAGTCAGGTTGAACATTTGCTTCCAAGTTTCTTTGCTATATAACATTGAATTATAAAGGATATAGCCCCAAGCTGTTTGAACACTTTCAATCCTCTTTTTTTTATTTTGGTTTCATCATCTCTTGTGCACGTGTATTTGTTAAGTGCATCTGTGTGTGTGTTTCATAATCTGGTCAAGCCATCTGTTGTCATTAAAACCTGCTCCTGTAGTTCTGAAGAATTCATCTGACCAGATGTTACTTTGAACTATTGTAACTCAAAGTTTTGCTGGTTGTTTTGCACATTACAGCTGTAGTCAAACATGTTAAACCACGGCTGAAATAATAATAATAATAAATTCACACATATTTGATATTGTGGGGAAAGAGAGGAAAATGATAAAGTTATACGGTTAATTTTATTAGTGCAATATTCCTTTTTTCCTTTAAAATTCACCCACAGAGTGCAAATTATTGTATGACCCACACAACAGATCACAGGCACCATCAATGCAGACCCTTTTTGATTGGTCTTGTCTTTTCTTTCTGTCCCCTGTCACATGTGGCTAGATTGGGCCTGACCAGTGTTAATCCTTGGCATAAGGGGTCTAGGCTGGATTATCAACTGGTGTGGAAACATCTGTATGGGTTGATAAGAGGTTAGTAAGGCTTGAACCTAGAAATGGAAGATCTGGGGAGCACACTGAGATACACGGAGAGGTGAGGCTGCCGTCAGGGTGCACCGAAAGTTCTTTAGTCTCTTTAACAAAATAATTGCACTGATATACAAAAGCTTGCTTGAGGGGTGACTTTGTGAGTCATTGTTTTCTCTGCTCATTTACTCTAAAGGAATTAAAATACAGTTTTTCAGTTACACAAGAGTTTCACTCAGGATATTTACAGTCTTTTGCTAACTTAACTTTGCTGCCAGTTTGCCTGCACACACTGCCCTGGTTTTCCATATTTTGCATATAAACCTGTGTCTACTGTATCTGGTAGTGATGCATAGAGTCATTATTATGCAGGGATGATTTAGAGGGCAGGGGAGATTGGGGGATTAGGCCTGCTTCAGTCCTCACTGGGGGGAGGAGTTTGAGGAAGGAGGAGGTTTACATCAACAAGCCCTGATTTACGTCGGCGAACAGATGGTGGAGAAATTGCTCTGTTTGGAAAAGATGTGCAATTGATTTCAGTTGATACTGTGGGGAAAGAGAGAGAGAAATAATAATAATAATA